GCAAAGTAGAGCAGAAAATGACTCTGATACCCCCTAAGTGCCCAATTTGGTGCATCAACATAATATTAAAGGACATAGCTGGAAAACTGATGAATATTCTACTGAAATCCTCTCCTGAGACTCCCCTAAGATTCCCACCCACAAAAGACAGAAAAAGCCCTCAAGACAAAGGATGCCAGTGCAGGGCTGTCTCTGGATCACACCACACCTTGTTCCAGATGTGAACCTTTTATTTTCTTTCTCCTAAAATTTCATTTTCCCCAGGTTTAATAAATACACTCTTAAAATCACCTGGACTTGTGTTGCATGTTGCGTAATCTTTCCTATACCAAGTCAACCCACACACTACAGGCTGGCCTGAGGCAGACATTGGTACTTGAGGCAGACCTGCGCCAGGTCTGACTTGCACAGTGACATCCTGACCAATTACAGAAAGGAAGATTTCGCAGTTTCCTCTGCACTTCTTATATGCAAGAGTTTATTCATGTATACTAACTATTCTCCTCTTTTTCTTTTACATTTTTTACTTTTACATATGAGTTATTGGAGATTACAATTTAGTCTTTAGGTAACAATATTCAGCAAGAATGCAACTGAATCTGAGGAATAAGTAGTCTGTGATGGATACAAACTTTTAGGGCTGTGGGTTTTCTCAATCTGGGGAAAGTAAAACTTTCCTTTTTTTTTTTTTTTTAGATTTATTTATTTTTAGAGAAAGGGGAAGGGAGGAGGGGAAAGAAGGAGAGAAACATTAAAGTATGAGAAAAACATCAGTCGGTTGCCTTTCATATGTGCCCCAACCAGGGATCAATCTGCAACCCAGGAATGTGACCCGACTGGAAATCAAACCTGCAACCTCTTGCTTTGCAAGACAACATCCAACCAACTGCACCATGGGTCCATATAGAAGCTGAATAGCCAACGATGCAGACTGTGTCTGCTATCTATTGCCTCCCCCCTCCAAATGCATGGTTCAATATATACCCTGTAAAAACAGTGGAATTCCCTTAAGCCTTCCTCATTTACAGACAGCACATCATTAAGCATTCTCAGCAGAGGGCACTGGAGTGACACTGCAGGAGGAAGAGGCTTCCTAAAAGTTCCCTCGCAGGCAAGGGTGAGGTGTCAGTGGTGTGGGTGTGAGGACTTCCCACTGAACCCATCCAACCTCAGCCTCGCAATAATCTTTTTACAGCCACTTATTCAGACTCCCTCAACAAGCCCCCATTCAACCTAAACAAAGCCACCTTCCTCAACTCCCTCAGAAGCTCCCTCCCAACCTGCACACAGTCAACTGCCCAATTCCCTCAGCAGGTTCTGTGAGGCCTGCATCCAGCCACCTGTGGTCCACACAATCATACACAATGCAGTCTCCCAGCCCCTGTGACCCGCAGTCCTGAAAGCCCCTACCCCTGCCAAACCTGACTCTCTCTGCCTGCCCACTCCACGGGTGGTTGATTGCCTGCTCACCTGAGTGCACTCTGGAGGCTTGCCTATTATTTGCCCAGCAGCTCCAGGCCAGCCCCAGCCTGGCTAAACTAGCAAACTTCTCTGCTCTCTGGTGGCCAAACCACATCCCCAACAAGGTTTAGACCCTTTCCCGATTTTTGCTTCCTTTGGTACCTTCCTTCAAACCTAAGGTAGCATGTATAGTTTCCTTGTATCTTATAGTTATTCTTTTATCAGTTAATAATTCTTTATATTAAACTTCCCCCATTTAACCTAGTAGGTGGTTTCTATCTCTAGACTAGACCCAGACCACTACAATGGGTGTGCCATTTTGTATTTTCACTAACAATGTATGAGTTACAACTGTTCCACATCCTCACCAGCATTTGGTATAGTCAGTCTTTTTAATTTTGGCCATGCATTAGGCATGTAGTGTTATCTCATTGTGGTTTTAATTTGTATTTCCCAGGTAATTGATGGTATGACATGAATTGGTATGAGCATCTTACATCGTGGGTAACCATGACCTTGTTATCAAAAAGCAAGCAGGGTCCTATTGCCTGCCACCACCCTCTAAACAAAATTCCAGAGGCAAAGGTTTGGCAATAAAGGAAAGGAGTCTTTATTTAAAAGCTACACAATTCTAGCCCTGGCTGGTGTGGCTCAGTGGGTTGAGTGCTGGCCTGCAAACCAAAAGGTTGCTGGTTTGATTCCCAGTTAGTGCACATGCCGGGGTTGCGTGTGAGAAGCAACCAATCAACATCTCTTTCCTCATTGTTTCTCTTCCTCTTTCTCCCTCCCTTATCCTCTCTCTAAAAATAAATAAATGAAATATTTTAAGAAAAAATAAATAAAAGCTACACAATTTTGGAATAACAGCTTTCCATGTGCATTAACCACCTAAGCTTATCAATGAAGGCTAAACTCTAACTCTTTAGTTACAGCTTTAACCAGCTAAGCCTATCAATTAAGGCTAAAATCTTTAACTCCTTAGTTCCCCTATCATCCCCCCTGTCAGTTTTTAATTACCTTATTTCTATAGGATTAGTTTACAAACTAAAACATAAGACACAAAAGCTTCCCAATTTTGCAAGAATGGCAGGCTTCTCCCTCAGAGCCCAGCCCCTCTAGAACACCCAAAGAATAACCCTGACACCCCCTGCCAGGCCAGCCTGATCCTAGGCTGTGCTTGGAGTTTCTTCTCCCATCTGAAGTCCATCCAAATTACCACCCTTTTGGAAATGCAGACAGCTGCAGCACAATCATCCGGGTACCCTAGAGGAAGACGAGTTCCAGAGAACCAGTCTCTGCTCTCCTTTTATTTTAAATCTTCTGTCCCATAATTCTGTGCGCTCAGGAGGCATTCAGCTCCTCAGCCAATCCTGTCCTAGACCGTTTACCATTGCCTCAGGCAACCTCCTCTGGCACCTCCCTACTCCTCCCCAACAATCTAACCTGGAGAAAGTTTTGAATTGACTAATAAAAATTAAGTAAGGAAAAAGGACTCATGGACACGGAAAACAGGGTGTTGATTGCTGGGGGGTGAGGGTATAAGGGGACTAAATGGCAATGGAGATATATAATAAAGATTATATATTTAAGATATGAAAAAAATTAAGTAAATATTTAAGACAGTCAAAACCATGATGTTAACTTTTCTTGTTAGGAAATCTGAATATTTAGTATTTTAAGTATTTCTAAGATATAAAATAAATTGGCCTATTTAAATATCAGGTCAATCTTATGCATATAATTCCAATTTAAAATGTGGAATCCAGCCCTGGCTGGTGTGGCTCAGTGGATGCCGGCCTATGAAGCAAGGGGTGTCGCTGGTTCAATTCCCAGCAAGGGCCCGTGCCTGGGTTGTAGGCCAGGTCCCCAGTGTGAGGAATGCGAAAGGCAACCAACCACACATTGATGTTTCTCTCCCTTTCTCCCTCCCTTCCCCCCTCTAAAAATAAATAAAATCTTTAAAAATAAAATGTGGAATCCAGTTAGTGACTAAGACTCACTCTTAGTTGAAATCTTACTATTTATGTGCACTATTGGAACAAATAATGGATTATAAGATTTGCTACATTTATATGTTTGTCATTTTAGATTCATAAAACTTATGTTAAGTATTGAGGAACGATTCTTCTTGTAACTTAGCCTATTGTAGTTCATAAATGGAAAAATCTAACATATTCAATTAACAAGCATAGTTTGAAAGTGGCAAGGGAATTTAATTGTTACAAAAGCTCTTTTTAAAAGAGATTGTTAAAACCTTTTAGACTATGCCAGGATCACCAGTGGTTACTAAAACTATGCTCAACACTGCCTGCACATCAGAATCAGACAGAATTAGAATCAGATAGAATATAGACATGTAACTTGTTTCTTAATCATTCTACAGTAAGTAGATATGATACCTTTTTATTCCCCAGTACTTCAGCATGTAGGTCCTAAAAACATCAATATATAACCATTGTAAAATCATTAAAATCAGGAAATTAATACTGAGAATGTTATTGCCTAATCCACAAACCTTATTTGAAATTTACCCACTGTCCCTCTAATCAATTTTTTAAAAGTTTTTAATGATTTTTTTCTAATCCCTGATTCAATCCATAAATTGTGGGTGGTTAGGATTTTCCTTTTTAAGTCCCTGTTAGAGATACATATGTAATGAAACAGGATGTTGGAGTGTGCTTTAAAATACACCAATACAAAGAGTTGAGTGGGGAGATGTATGAAAAGCACTATACTGGTGATAGCTGTTGAAGCAGGCAATGGGTCCAAGATGGAGGCGCATTATACCTTACTCTCTGCTTTCGGTTTGAAATTTTCCACGATAAGCCCTACCTGGTGTGGCTCAGTGGGTTGAGCACCGGCCTACAAACCAAAAGATCACTGGTTCAGTTCCCAGTCAGGGCACATGCCTGGGTTGTGGGCCAGGTCCCCAGTTGGGAACGTGTGAGAGAGGTAAACAGTTGATGTCACATCTACGTTTCTCTCCCTCCTTTCCCTCTCCCTAGAAATGAATATTTTAAAAAGTGGTTCCATGATAAAACTTAATACAAAAATATTTTATACATGAACCTTGCCGCTGGAAAAGTGAAAATAAAGACTCTTTATCTGTCCCTGTGCAATAGTTATTAGCTCCGCTGTAACTGTTAGCTCCGTTATGCTCTAATATGAGCTCACGTAATGCTCTCAATAAACCTTTAACTCTCTTACTCCCACGTCACAGATACGGGAAACTATGCTCAGAAGTTCAACCTCGGTCTAAATAGAACAGGAAGTTCGAACCCGTTTAGCCGAGCCCTCGCTCGCTCTGCAGTGCCAATCCAGTCACGAGGAAATGCGAGAGTCCCAGAGGAGAAAATGTACTTGCCCTAGCCGGGTATCACCGCAGACACAAACCAAAAAATGTATTCCCTGGAATTTGGGCCAATAGAAATCCAGAGCTGAGTAACAGATGGAAGCCTCAACCTTTTGATACGAGGCGGGGTTGGAGCCTCTTCTCGGCTGACCTATTCGACGAATCTGGCTACCGGCTTTTCCTGGCTCCACCCCACTCTGGTTTGGGCCAGACAGGGCTGTTGTGTAGCACGCCTGGGGTGTGGCCTGGGATTCCCAGGGAGGGAAGGCCGCGATCTGCCCTTGGGCCGAGAGGGGAGGTGACTCTGGCCGGAGGAGGACGCAGGATGAGGGCCTTGAAGGTGAGGGCCCACACCCGCCGGGCCGCGGGCCCCCAACCCGAAAGCCTTTACCCTAGTATAAGAATCCCTAAACGTCCCGGGATCTGGGGCCTTGTAATGTGAGCTCGCTTCAGGGTTCCAGTCTCCCTCCTAAACAGCCTGGGACCCCCACCTCTCACCTCCCTAACATGGGGCCCTAACACAGTCCTAAGCCCTGGGTTTAAACTTCCCTTCGTGTAGGGCACCCCTGACAGATCGGGACCCAAGCACTGGAAATACAACACCCCTTTCCCTTGGTGTCTGGAAACCCCATGAAGTACCCGGGACCCAGTCCCGACATTTCCGGGACCTGAGCTCCTACCATTAATCCAGGAAATCCTCCCCCGCTCCCCCGCCCCCCCCCCACAAAAATCTCGGGACTTAGACCCGCAGGTCATTAGCCTCCCTTTTGGGGCCGCTCCTCTTCTAGCACCTTCTAGACAGCTTGGTAACCTCCAAGTCAGACCCTCTAGGAGCACGTCCCCTTCGGGGTCTTCCTTGACAGGACACCCTCCCCCACTCGTACTGCAAGTTCTGATCCTGCCTTTGGGAAGCTCCCGAAGCATTGGACCGTCCTTGTACCCCCGACTAGACCCACTTTGAGACACCTCTCCAGGTGCATCTAACACCCACCCATCCACCCCCTCCCCTCAGGTTTCCCAGGCATTGATTCGTTCCTTCAGCTCCACCGCCCGGAACCGTTTGGAGAACCGAGTGGGTGAGAAACAGAAACTCTTCCAGGTAGGCGGAGTGGGGGTAGGGCAAGGGGAAAGCCTAGGAGCCGGAAGTTCGATCCGGAGTTGGGGGGAGTACCGTCTTTGCAGCCAACACTCTCTTCCTATTGGACGGCCCCAACCTCAGGCAGACAATGACCTCCCGGTGCACTTGAAGGGCGGGGGAACCGACAGTGTTCTGTACCGACTGACCATGGCGCTGTGTTTTGGAGGTGAGTGCAGGGCCGGACTCGACCTGAGCTGCACTGAGGCGGGCTCCGTGTGGAGTGAGGAAGGGGGCTCGTTGCCGGGCTGGTGTTTAGAGAGGGGATTGGGCTGTGAGGTGGCCAGGTTTGGAGCCGGCATTGGAGTCTAGGCTAGCAAATAGGGAGGGAGCTCCCTAGGGCTTGTGATTCTGTCCCAGAAGGGGCCCTGGGGCCGACAGGACCTGGGTAGAAAGCTCAGGACCTGGTCTGAATCAAGGACCAGGGATTCCCACCTCAAGCGCAGTTTTAGGAGTAAACTGGGGGCTGGGATGCAGACTGGTAATTGGTGAGTCTGCAAAGGGGCATAAAAGCCTAAGGTGGGTTCACGGAAGTGATTAGGGTCTCATTATGTATCCCCCCACACTCCCTCCCTAGGCACCGTCTACAGTCTGTATTGTCTTGGCTGGGCTTCCTTCCCCCATAAGAAGTGAGACCAAGAAGCCTTCAGGACCTGAAGGACTTGAACAGACGTCAATAAATGTGCTGGCTTCTTGGGGAACCCAGCCCAGCTCTGGCCTCTGTGTGCGCCCCTCTGCCCATCCTCCCACTAACAGGCACTCTCTGTCCTAATGGACTGCCCACTGCCCCAGCCTTGAGTCCCTCATTCTAGACCAGGTCTGTTCCTAGGATATCACTGCCTCTCAGCTCTTCCAGATCCCAAGTGGCACCCCTGGGCTGCCCCTCAGGCTTAAGGACCTAAGGTGGTGTCCTCAAGTGGGACAGAAATATGTATCCTGGGATACATGCCCTTCTCCCTGCAGAGGCCCAGGGGGTGGGAAGGAAGATACTAAGCATGGTCATGACAAAACAGGCCGAGGCAAGTAAGGACAAACTCACTCATGCACAGATGAGATTGGGACAAACATGACCTTGGGGGACAGAACCAGGGGTGGCAATGACACTTCCCACCAGCTCTGTTCTTAGGGCAGGAGCAGAGACTGCCCAGGTCTCTGGGTCCCAATCTCAGTTTCCACAGAATCTCTGAAGTATCGTTGAAAGAATGAGGCTACAGCTCAACTGGGATCTAGTATGAGAAAGACATGCAGACCCAGCCTTGGAGATAGACACAAAGATCCACAAAACCACCACCAAGACCCAGACAGAGCCTGAGCCACTCCTCAACTCTCAGAACAGAAGGCACATCTCAGAGCAGCAACTGGGGTAAATTTATTTCCTTCAGGGCCTGGCAGGCTGGGAGCAGAATACAAAGGCACTAGAGCATATGGGCCTGTTGTAGTTAACTGCCTGGGTAGTTAACTGAACAGGTGTGCCAGAGTGCACAGGGACGGGGGTGATCTTTCCAGAGCTTAGAGAAGGGCCCTTGGGGAATGGACGCAACAGAGCTTAGCACAGATGTACAAGAAAGGTCACGGACAGGGTGAGAAGTGGGTGTGTGGAAGGTGGAGTGACTAATGGGGCAGGGTGTGTCAGAATGTCTTAGAGCCAGGGGTAACTTGGGTCATGGCGTGTTGGGACATATTGGGCCCTAGCTGTTGTCTGAGAAGCAAGATGCCAACGACTAGGATAAAGGAAAAGCTGGTGGGTCAGCACGCCCCACAAAGACATGACTGCATACAGGATCAGCCCTTGGGAGAGACCAAGAAGTCCAAGGTGACACCTATCGCAAGGTGATGAGGGGAGAGGCCTGGGGTTCCCATTCAGGAGTACATAGTCAGCTGCAGCCACTGGGAAGAGAAAGGCACAGAGAGTGAGGAGGAAGGGAATTGAGAATACCAGGAGCCCTCTGCCCTCACCAAGGGGTTGTTGCGGAAATAGGTGGGAGGGAGCCCAGTGCAGAGCTAAGGAGAGGGGGTCCCCCACTAGGAACCCACATTCCAGAATGCAAGCTCTTACCTCCTGGATGTTCACCTGAATTTGTCCAGTGCCATCTTTGTCAAGAGATTTGAAGGCACCTAGACAAGGGAAGGGTTGGGGTGATGGGCAGTTGACTTTTAGGATAAAAATATACTAATATATGGGATGATGATAATAATAGCTAGTACTTTATTGAGTACTTTGTGCCAAGCACTGTATAAAGTACTTTGCATGTATTAACTCATTTAAGAGTTAAGTCATTTTAACTGACTTAACTCTTGAGATAAGTCATTTTAAAATTTGGCACAGAGAAGTAATATGCTCCAGGCCACACAGTAAGAAAGGGAAGAAATTGGGATTGAAACCCAGGCTGTTACCCACTTCAATAATAATGGTCTCCAGGGTGGGTGGAGGTGGAAGAGGGTATGGGGGGATAAATGGTAATGGAAAAAACAGGATAAAAAAAATGTTAAATAAATAAGTAATGCCCTCTACATACCTGTGCACTCCCCTCTGCCCAGGTCTCAGCCTCCCACCAACCTCTAAGCCCTCCAGTTCTAACCTTAAGACTATTGGAAACCGAGGCTCTGCAGGCTCCACTTCCTGCCTTACTGTCTGGCATGGTTCCCACTCCTGCCCTGAAACTCCACTCTATGTTCCCCACCCACAGCCAAACATGGGCAAACTGGTGCCCATGCTGCCTTGGCTTCCTTTCTATTCTGCGTTCAGTTACCACCCTCAGATGTCCATGTACCTGGTTTCTTGATACTGCACTGGCTGCAGTTATTGCTGAACCTCTAGCTGGTAAATCCAATGGACATTTCTTGGGCCTTCTCATATGTGACTTTGGACATCACCTGCCCTATTGTCCCCTCTCACCTTGTCCTCACATCCATGACATACCTGTCCCTTTGCTTCTACCCATGCTCTTAATGTACTGAATTCATTGCATTTATGTTCAAAAGAGCCCTCGTGATCCAAACCCTACTGACTCCTCCTCACAGCCTTGTGACACCATCCCACCCCCTCTTCAGCACACTGAACTGAGTCTAACAAAAAACACCAAAAGTGCATCTTTTTCCTGTCTAGGTTTTCACACAGGCTGTTCCCACTGCAACATTCATTCCCACTGCAACATTCATCCCCACTCTCTCGCTGGGGTCACTTTTCCTCATCCCAAAGGTCTCAGCTTATATGTGCCTTACTCCAAGAAGCCCTCCTTGACTCCTTAGGCTGCTTAAGTTTGAAGCCCTCAGAGCTTTCCCAATCACAAATCCAAACCCACTATGGCCGGAGTTTCCCCTCACAGCCCCCATCACTGCCCTGAGCTTCCCCTATCCCAGTGGTAACAAATCTTTGCAGTCTCTGATGATTTGCCTTTCCTCCACTAGACTCTGAGTGACATGAGGGCAGGAACTGTGGCCATTTCGGTCATTGCTGTGTCCCTACCATTGCCCACCTCAGGGTTAGGCTCAAAGACCTTGGCCAATGGAGGCTGAATAAAATGCCCACCCCAGAAGACAGCTAAGGTATCACTCACGGAACATGGCATCCAGCCTGACCAAGCAGCTGATGAAGTTGTCAAAATCCATGTTCCCTCCCTCATCAGAGTAACGTCGGATGATCATGTTGTAGAGATGTTCATTTAGGTGGAATCCTGATAATAGTTTAAGTCTCTCAGGTGTGGGGGCCACGTAACCCTACCCACTCCCAGCCCCAGGATTCAGGCTCAGACCAGCTTGGTGGGGGCTACCTTACCAATCCCATCCCCAGCCCCTGCCAGCCATACCTGCTGCCTCAAAGGCCCCTGGGAGTTCACTGCTGCCAATGGTCCCTGAGCGGTCAACATCAAACTGTTTGTATATGGCCTGTGGGGGCATGAAGGTCAGGGATCAACTGAGCATCATGCGGCACAGCATCCCCATGGCTTAGGAGTCTTCATGCTAGGAGTTTCAGAGGTCACCACACACCTGCCACTTTTTGATATTGTTCCACAAATACTTGAATTCCTCGAAACCCAGCTTGCCCGTTGTGTCACTCTGGTGTAAGGATGTTAAGAATAGCTACACAAATACATGCATTATATACCCTATTACATGATGATAAGAGCCAAGCAGGGAAACACAGGCTAAAACTCCAGCTCCTGTCTCACCCTAGTCATGTTACCTTGGGCATGGTGCTATTTCTCATTTTATCCATACATATTTTACTTGATGTTTCTTTTTTTAATTGATAGAGAGGAAGGGAGAGAAACATTGATTTTGTTGTTCCACTTATTTACACAATCTTTGGTCGCTTCTTCTATGTACCCTAACCTACAACCTTGGTGTATCAGGACAACACTATAACTGACTGAACTACTGGGCCAGGGCCACTTTATGTTGCTAAATGGTAAGGACTCTTTTTAAATACAACTATGTGGAATTATAATGAACTTTCCCAAACTACAAATTTTCCACCTGAAAATAGTTGCTAATTCCTCATTTATTCTTTTTTCTTTTTTTTAAATCCTCATCGGAGGATATGTTCATTGATTTTAGGAAAAGAAACATCAATTGTTTGCCTCCTGTACGTGCCCTGAGTGGGGACCAGACCCACAACCTAGGGATGTGCTCTGACAGGGAATCAAACCCGTGACCTTTTGGTGTACAGGACAATGCTTGAACTACTGAGCCACATTGATCAGGGTGCTAATTCTTCATTTATAAAATCCTTGACAGTACAGTAATTTGATTTCCTAAATGTTAGGACATTAAAAAGAATAGTCATCTTAGAGCTCTAAGAAAATGAGGTGACAGTAGTGAATACCTGCTGGGTTTGTAATCAGAGCAGAGTGAGATATTGGCAGAAAGCCCTTAGCTCAGGAGCTGACACTTGCTAAATTCTCAATACCAATAACAGATAAGACTTACCATATCACCTAGTACACACCAGACAGTTCTAAGCTCAGGAATATCACTTTTCTCACTAAAGCCTCAAGATACCAGCCCCACCAGTGTTATTCCCAAGTCATAGAGACAAAAATAGACCCAGAGCTGGAAAATCTACCTGTGTAAGATCAAAGTAACAGCCAGCACGTACAGACTATCCTAAACCTTTGAAATGTAACTCTAATTTGATATCACCATAATCATTCAGCCCATTTTACAGAT